CTTTTTTTATACATGTAGAATAGATAGACATGAGGTGCAATGTATGTACCTATGTTGGTTTATTCTCACGTGGTTGCCTTGAATGGTGCTGTAAAGACGGGTTCACTTCTAGTAGCTCTGCCAACGCATAAATGTCACACACATTTTTGTAACTTCCTTTCTATTAAACCAACACTGCCAAGGCAAACAGACGAACAGTGAATATGAATAGTCTGCTATGTGTTGAGTGTGTTATTTTAATTGCGTGGTGTGCGTGTTCCTGCGAGTGTCTCGTTTAATGGCACATTAATGTTAGCTGGAACAAAGCCCTTCGTCATTATCTACATTTGCGTTTTGGGAACGTGAAAATGTAAATCGAGTGAGATTTTCACAGGGGTGGGAAGGGGAGCTGGCAGACTAATTTGAGGAATGATTTGATATAAAAGATAATTGGGGTGTAACGTAATCGAAGCCAGATAATTGTCTTCCTTTTTGTTTTTGTTTCAAATTTCAAAGCCATGTGAAAGCAGTTTTATCTTGAAAGAGAATTCCCAGATAAGTGACGAGACATTATTGAAAGAGAGAAGGCTCAAAATAACAGGTTTTCAAGGAACGTCCACCAAAATCACCTTCCTCTGCTCTCCTGATTGCACGATAGGCTTCTGGATGCGTGTGATGTGAATAGCGAGTGAGGAGATGGTACTGTTGGGACCAGCCATCAACACAATCCCTGCTAGTCTCACAGCATCGGGCTGTCTGATACCTGGGCCCTCTATCACAGCAACACAAAGAAGATAACCACTGAAGGTCTACTATAAATGCTTGTGTTTACGCGTCCCTTCAGTGTTGAGTGTCATTGGACCTCTGCATTCATGTTTACTTTGAAAGGGACGCTTATTTCTTCAAGCAGTTACTGGGTAATCTGATGGTGGCAAGTTGTTCAAACTTCAAATTTCTATTTCTGTGCCTACACATTGGTCTTGCATGTTTCTCTGTTCAGAAGCAGAAGCTGCTGTTCGTCTCAGTGTAGACTTGGAGAAGTCAGTTGCTTTTTGCAGATAGTGATGGTCTTGCTGTACCTGTTTCGACTGAAGTCGTACCTCTTCCTAAACTCATCGGTTGGCTGAGACGGAGGAAAATCTGCATGTCTTCTCTACAATACTAGGAACACTATATCTGCTGGCTTTGTTTGCCTAAACAAGTTAAAATAAGCATAAAAAGTAATATTTTTAGAATATAAAATCATTTTGACATCTTTATTTTATACTGAAATAAAAGCACCAAACTCTCAGCCAACCAGCAGGAACCCACCCATACTTTTATTATTTCCAAAATAGAACTGTGTCAACTTGTGATATCAGAACAAGAGCTGTTGAGGAACACAATGCAGACAAGTTAGCATGCTGTTTTTAGGTGACATATTATGTTGGTTGTTGAGCTGTGGTGTGCAAACTGCTGTTTTTCATTTTTACGCTTGATTTTTTTTGGCCATTCGTTTTAACAAAATGCAGTCACACTGATGGCTTATTTGACATGGTGTCAATTAGTTTGGAACTGAGTAAATGTTTAGTAAATGTAATAATGTTAGACCTTGCTGTCTCCATTTAGTTGGACAAATTCAAAGTTGTGGGAAAAAAATTAACAATCCTTGAAGACATATGATTTAGAGCCTTAGAGCCCTTCATGAAAATGATTTAAAGCACCTAAAAATCCTCTTTAATGTTAAACAGATGACCAACAACAAATAAGTAGCAATACACTAAAACCATAACAGCCGGCGAGAAATTCAAAAAACCCTAATCTGCTTCATCGAGGCAGTTTGATTAAATGTGGTTGACAATCAGCTTTCATCAGATTGTGATTCAAAGGTTGCTTACGACTGATTGATGCAGAGAAGTATGCAGCATCCGTTTTTTTATTTACGGAGTCCTATTCATGTCAAGCCACTGAGGAAAAACATACGTAGAACAAAAGATAAAGAAAAATCTGATATGTTCTAAGAAGACTGTGAGTCCATGTTGGACCCAATCACTCACAGTGAGACAATGCTTTCAGGGTCTATTAACTTTCTGATCTGATCGTTTATGTTTTCTTGCATTGTGTTTTGTGTTTCCTCACAGTATTTCTTTTGTTCCTCCAATGCATAGAAACGGTCAGCATGTAGTGTGTTGATTCAGTCCATTTAAACTACAATACATTACATACTAGAGAAAGGAGGGATGATATAACATTTTACGTAATGTCTGTAATTCTTATTCATCCTTTCAAAAGCTGCAGCACACTTATATTGCTTGGACATAAAGGTATGATATTGTGTATATATCTATGGTAGCTCTCCTGTAATTACTCTTGACTGCTCCTAATAAGATTAGCCGAGAAGGCAATAATAAATGTAATTTGAATCCACCAAGTCTCCATGAAATATGTCGAGTGATATCTTACGCCGCAGACACCGAGGAAAACAGTAACTTCAATATAGGCTGCAAAATCATGTCAACTCACTGCACACATACAACATACAACACATACAAGCTTATAGTTTGTGTTGCACCCATTCTATACCAGCTTATACCAGGTGGGGCCACAATCCCAGCTCTGACATTTCATTGATATTTTCATAATCATGGTGACAGTATCTCAAACAACTGCAGCAGTTTGCATGTCAACACAATGTTCAGGGGTAGGGTTAGCACACAGTTTGGTGCATAACCTCATCACAAATGATCAAATTTACATATTGTCATGTAACAATTAGTGAAAATGGGATGTACTCCCCAAATGCGGACTTGTTTGACGTTTAAGAGAATGGTTGTCTGCTCAGCGGTTGAAAACTGTAAATTGGTGGTCATTAGCCCATTGAACCCTATAGACGCACTTTGCATCCAAATTCACGTCCTTTCTTCTCAGTTGAATTGCTCTCAAAGTATTTATTGCAGGAAGGTCTAGTGCACATCAAATGAAGCCACACGACTTGACCTTTCCAACGATGCCAGCTGCTTGTCTGTGCGACAAAGTGCACGCGAGGAAAATCATGAGAATTTGCATCCAATTTAATCATAGTTACATGCTGCATACAGCTCTGTGTCCGCCACCACATCTGTTACCCTTGTTTCAATTACTCGAGAAGTCATCATTGCATAGGCACGATTATATCAAGATATGCTACCATTTATGCAATGCAATCATTCTCAGCATTTGCCTGTTTTGCCGTTTCTGCAAGTAGGCTACTGTATGTTCACAATGAAGCAAATAAAATAATAGATACAAGCACATATAGAGGATCCTGATTCTGCTATTGCCAAACAATCTCACCAACACACTTATATAAAGCTATCTCTTCTGAAATATTTTATCCTTGATATAAAGGTTAGTATAAACATATTATCCTATCAAATTATGGAAGGCCAGGATAGATTAGACTGTTCTTGATATAAATAAGGTACAAAAGGTATTAATTGCTCTTATAATGATAAAGATAAGAACTTTAAAGGTAGGGAAATTACTGTCCAACTAGCCTAAAGGGCTGACAGGGTTAATCATGCTGTCCAGCCAAAGTTTAGTAATGCACAGAGAATAGTGACTGCATGCCAACATCCAGGATCCAGCTGGATAAAGGGAGTCATTAAAGAAAAGCATTTCTAATGAACAATGAACGTGGTTGGCTAAACATGCAAGAAGAGAAAGCAAAAGCTTCTTTTTAATATCTAAGTAAATCCAGAGTTTTATCAGTCTCTTTCTACTCTGCGCTTCATTAAAAATTTCCTGGAAGCTGTGTATTTTCAAGTAAATTCGTTGGACACTGACCGAATATATTCTTAGATGTCTTGAGTTAAAGAGAAAGAGGACACACACAGAGTCTCACAGTTCTGGTAGTGAAGGTTAAAGAGTATGTTTTTCTTTCTTCTTAAAAGGTTAAAGCTGAAGTACCCAGAGGAGTCTGTGTTTTCATGTGTGTGTGATAGAGAAGAAGGAAGCTTCGATCCCTGTGCGGCTTTGTGTCTGTATCTGTGCCATCTGCCATCAACTGGCTTTCTGCGTGCAAGTTGAAACTACATCTCTTTGAAAGAAGTTAATTTGGAGGATGCCTACAGCTCCAGACCAGGAACCTACAGATCTTCTCCTCCCACAGCCTCCTCACACCTCAAGGCCCCTCCAGCAGCTCCTTCCTCCCCGCCGAGTCCTCCTCTGTCATCCCAAGCCAATGTTTGCCACTCATGGAATATTTAACAACAGACATGTACCTGAATGTAAATGTTCACAGGTCTTGCAGATTTCTCAACCCTCTGGTGCACAAACATACACTGGGTCAAAGAATAATCCCTCAAGCAGGACTGCAATTTGACAGTGGAACTCAATTAAAACGCCCTACATTTTAAATGAAACATTAGCAGTGTTTGATTTATTACACTTAAATGTCAGTGGAAGAGGCAAGTGGAGCTTAAGACGTATTTCAACCGCAAGAATGAGAAAGTTAATTCACAATGACATTAAGATGAAAAAGTAATTTGACCACCATGGATTTTTGAGAATGTTCCGTGGTCTTTGAGTTCAATAAACCCTGGGTGGAATTGTATTTTTTCTCTTTTACAATCACGTCCATTCATTTAACAAATCGTAAATGTTTTCCTATTACCTGCAGTGACATTTCAGCATCTATTTAACATAAAGGTTGACACAGGACTAAGATAAAGACTTTAGGAAATGGATTCTAAGAACCAAGTAATGCTAGAATTGAGTAATTTCCTGCATTTTCAGTTTATGTATGTGCAGTACGGTACCGCTGTATGTGTGCCGCTGTCGTTTTATTTGCGAGACTGAAATGAGATAATGTACTGAAATTGGACATGACTCATCAGGTATTTCATCAGTGCCACCTCATAAATCCCACAGCTTTAAAATGCATTTCATGTGTTGGCATGTGTGTGACTCAAAGAACAAGTAGCTGCTAACGCTTTTATGTGTGACGTCTCTGTCATGTACATGTTTCCTGACTGCCACATTTTCTCTCTCTTTCCTGGCAGGGTGGAGGAGAGTTTTAAGACTCTGTTTTGGTCAATCTTCGGACTGTCTGAGGTCATCTCAGTGGTGCTGAAGTATGACCACAAGTTCATAGAGAACATCGGCTACGTGCTGTACGGGGTCTATAACGTCACCATGGTGGTCGTTCTTCTCAACATGCTCATTGCCATGATCAACAGCTCGTACCAGGAGATAGAGGTACGTAAACATGGCACTCAGGTCGATACAGAAAGGTTATATTATTGTCAACAAGTCAATAAGGATTATTGTTTTATCATCTCTGTGCCTGCAGGAGAATTAGAGCGTGGCTTTAAAAAATACCACGAGCTGTGAAAGATCAATGCAGCGGCAACAAACAAAAACACAGAATGTATAATAGAAGAGGAATCACATTGAAGAAAAAAAAAAAATATACTAATATTACCTTCACAATATAGATTTTTTTTTTCAAACTTGCTATGGACACTGACATTTAGTTACCCAAGAAAATTAGCTTTTTAAAATAATGAACAAGATTTTGTTTTCCTTTTACTCCTGAGAATTTGTAGACAGACAGATAATCTTTATGATCCAGAATTGAGATTTATGAGCTCAGTTTAACATTTCAAAAGGCGTATACCAGGAAAACATATAAAACAATAAAGGATGAGGAGTAAGGGGAATTACACTTTTTTATAGATCAGGAACATTTATTCAAAGGCAGCAATAAATCAGAAATTGTGGTCTATTAAATATATTTTAAAGCCAAAGAAAAATCTCAAAGCAAAAGATCTAGTCTGAAGAGTGCTTCATGAGCTGTTGTTTTGAAAATGTTTGTCTGGTTTACAACATCAGTTTTTACAGTAGCCTGCTGTTAATGGCCACTTCTGTTTTTAGCTTCTAAAAAGCATCGGATGTTGTTGTATTTAATCATATTTTGGGAAAAACAAAACACAATAACAACATTACATTACTACTGTTAACATTTAAATGGGAAATTGTAAATGGTCTGCACTTATATAACGCTTTTATCCAAAGCACTTTACAATGTGTTTCACATTCACCCGTTCACACACACATTCATACACCAATGGTGACAGAGCTGCCACACAAGGTGCTGCCTGCCATTGGGAGCAACTTCAGGTTCAGCGTCTTGCCCAAGGACACTTCGACTGTGGAGGGGCAGGGGATCAAACCGCCAACCTTACGATCAGAGGACAACCGCTCTACCACCTGAGCCACAACCACCCAAAATTTAGCTGTAATTAGTTACTGAACACCATATATGTGCCTAAGTCACATACATTTAATGTGATAAGTTATAATTTGTGTTTAATAGCATTCAGTTTGAGGGCTTTACAATCCTTATTGACTGTTGTATGGAACTGAAATGATTTTAATGGAGGTAGTCAAAGCTACTTTTTTTTCCTTCTTCATCTATCCCCAGATACCAGCCCAGTCTCCTCCAAAATGCATTCTTTTACAACTAAACTGCACTCTCAATTATGTTCTGACGGAAATATATTTTCTCCCAGGTCTAAGAATAATGGTCCCACATTGGACACAAACCACAGACTCCTAAGTGAACGTTCTGTTGCTGACTCATGTCTCCACCTCACCTTCAACCTCCTAACACAGACTCCGTGGCTCTCTCAAACTGCAACCGTCTCCTACAATGTCACATTCTTATCTGTCGGGCAGAGAGTACTTTTCTTTCAAAGCGTAAATAAGAATGCAGTTTGATTGTTCAAGAGTGTAATTGTTGTGAAACAGGGTTGCAGATGCACCTACAACGCCTGCGTTTGTCTCTGCAGGAAGATGCCGACGTGGAGTGGAAGTTTGCCCGAGCTAAGTTGTGGCTCTCCTACTTCGATGAGGGCCGCACCCTACCAGCACCCTTCAACCTGGTCCCCAGCCCTAAATCCTTCTACTACCTGGTCCTTCGTATCAAATCCTGCCTGATTCGCCTCTGCAAAGCCAACAGCCGTCATCACAATGAGCTGGAGATGGGCAGGCTCAGCTCACAGGCCAAAGTCAGTGTCAGCAACTCTTTGATCCCTTACCTCATGACCAATCATAAATAACAAACTAAACAATATTTTCTTAATTTGCATGCATTTTCCTGCAGGTAACAACTAAGGGGCTGACTATTTTTGAAGAGGGTTAATTAATGATTCTCCAAACCACACAGCAGTAGCCACTAAATAATTGACTGTGTTTCTTTTTATCTCACTGTTATTATCCTTTCTAAGTGCTTTGTTTTCAGCTATTCCTACATTTAAAAGGAGCTGTGGTGGGATAATTAATTTACAGACTAATTGCTGACAACAGGCAACTTCTTCCTCTTCTGGCCTCCTAATTAGCATAATATTCTCAGATAACTGGAAAATGGTACAATGAAGAGACAGTCTGTGCAGGAAAACACCAGTTTCTGTAGTTTGTTGTGGGTCATAAGAAGTTTACTTTTATTGCTTTTACGCAATTTTTTACTTTTTTGAAATAATTTTTTCTGCCATAATAATTACTGTATTTTGCTGTTTTGCAGGCTCCTTCCTGCTAAATTAGTTGTTGTTTTTTTCTTTTCCATACAGCTCCAGTTAAACTCATTTTACCCACAACAACCCCCGGTTGAGCTGTCTTCACATATAGACCCGGGTCAACTGTTTGTACCGTGACTATCAAGTGCTAAATATCGCCATGTATAATATCCGGACGGTGCTCAGATGCCCTTGTGGTTCATTTTCACACTTTCTCCATCTCAAATTGTCCATCAGAATAAAATCAGTGTAATGAAAAGAAAGTCTTGCGTGAGGAAAACCATCTAAGAGGCCATTTAATTCAGAATCAATCTTGGCGCTGGCCTGGTCTGCTGGTATTTCCTCAGCCTGAGTCCTCGGCTCAAATGGCTCACCTCAGCACCTCCGCTGAGCTATTAGTCAGGCCATTGGCTCTTCCTGCGTCTCCTCAAATGCCTGGGCAGGTTTCGAATGGGGCCAAGATGGGTTACACTCTGCTGCCCCTGTGAGCGCCTAAAGTTCTCTGCAGCTCTGACAATTTAACTGCAGAGCCAAGCAGGTGCAGCAGCCAATCGATACACGAGCTCAAACTGGACCACAGTGTCCAGAATGTCAAGTGAGATTTAGAAAAGACAGCATGGTGTCTCTGAGTCAGTAGTTTTTGCTTCACAGTCTTTTGGTTCCTCCAGCGGTTGAGAAAACTGAAGCTAATTAAGTTAATTTAAAAGCAGCACATGCTCATACAGATTTTTAAAAAGTCAGTGGTGAGCAAGATGCCAGCTTTAATCACTGGGATGTGTTTGTTTAACAGAAACTAACTGAGCCCTTGTGTGGAATTAATATGAAAAAGTCTTAAGCTGACATGTTCATTCACTGTTTGAACTGTACTGTAATTTGTGTGCATTTGTGCGTGTTTGCTGGCAGGCAACAGTTGGTGCTCAGGCCCCTGGGTGAATTTGCCTTTCATATATTCACAGCAGTTACGACAATTTATTTCTTGGCTAAAAGCAAATAAATTGAATATCAGTTAAATGGAAGCAGCAGAGGCCAACAAAGCAGGTTATTGATGGGGACTAGATCACACAGAGCACACAATGAAGAGATTTGAGCGTTGTCAGTGGCCTTTGGTAAGCTTATGCATAAATGATGTGTTTCTCGAACTCACATGGAGCTGGACCGGTAGTTGCCATCTGGGTGTGGGGTTCAGTAGAGCAGTGAGTAGATTTTTTTTATTTTTTTTAAAGAAAACGTTATTAGCCTCTCTGAAGCACTTAATTTGCTTTTACAGTAGGCGTTCTGTGTACCACCAAGTCCCTAAAAAACACTGTACATGCTGTTCTTTCAGAGACACAAGATGAGCTTCCCTGCAAAATAAAAAAATATAATTTAATAACCTGATTATAAAAAAACAAAGAGTGCAAACTAATGTAGCCTTGGATCGCCTCTGCAGTACAACACCCATTTAACATAATAAATGCTCTATCGTTATGAACGGAAGGTAATGATTGATAGTATTTTAGAGTGAGCCTGCTTTATATTAGGTTAGGGATGACACATTCTGTGTTTTATTTATATATGTTTATAGAGTACGCTGTATATTTATAACTTTGAAAAATTTCGCTGCTCTTGAAGGAAAATCATTTGGTTAGGCTTTGACAGGGTTTGTAACATATTCAATTTTACATTTGTCAGTTGTTTTTGGGAAGGAGAATAATAGTTGTTGTTCTTTTTTTCTTTTTTAATTACAAAACTATTATACTAATCAGCTTTTATGTTGATGTGTTTCCAGGGCTCTGCAGCTGTAGTTTTTATACTGTGGAGTAGCAGCTGGTTGTATGTGTCCACACTTACATGAAAACTCTTTTTTTACACAGCAGTGTTGGAATGACACACATGCTTCAAAGCAAGGTCATGGACGTGGAAGGCATCTAGTAGTCAGTTAATAAAGGTTCACTCTGGTCAAGTGATGCTGTTGACTCTCTTTGCCTTCTCTTTTGAAGACAGAGTATTAGATACAAACACCAAGCTCTGCCTTTCATTGTTGATTTGTTTTAGCAGTGTGCTGCCTCCTTTAACACCCTTCTCCAATGTTTTAGAAGATCGCTCAACCCTGAAATGTTAACACTGGACTTTTGTTTGTTTCTCGATGTTGCAGGATGAACGTTTCAGGTCTTATGCGCGACCAGGAGAGGAATTCATACAGAGAAAATCCAGGAAACACCCGACTAGATATCAGGTAAGACAGAGGCAGAATCCAAAGCAGGGAACAAAGGCTGGGTGGATGAAACAAAGAGAGAAATGGACATTTGCTGGAGGAGAAGGAAGGAATAAAATGAGAAACAAGAGACAAACATACGGGTTAAAGAATGTATAACGGAACGAAAGCAGAGATTTATAAAGGCAGAGAGTGAGGACAGCCAGAGGGTGACAGGAAGGGTGAGAAGGAGGGGTGTAGCAGAGGTAAGGAGAAGCAGAGGTAAGGAAGCATGTGGAGACAGAAAGATAAGGTAGAGATGACAGACAGGTAGGAAGCGAACAAGTTTGGATGGACGGGCATGGGCTGAATAACAGAAAGATGTGTTGATGCTGGAATTTAAAACTTCGATACAATACCCTGAAATATATCAATATTTGATAGAATTTTTGATGCCATAAGAAAGCATTACCAGAACACTGAGGGCGTTTTTATTATAAGATACATATAACAAGGCAATGACATGACAACAAGGTGCATTTTTGTACACTACTGCACTTCCAGTTCCTGTAACATTGTCACACACATTCCAAGGGTAGGGAAGTATAAGTAGAAAGAAAAGTAGTGCAAGCAAGTAAAAAAATTAGTTTGAAAAAAAAAAAAAGAATGTCAAATAAAATGCTGGAGCGGAAGAGAAAAGCGACGAGAAGATGACGGCGCAGTGAGTGAGGGAGAGAAGGAAGAGGTGGGTGGAAGCTCCGCTGTATGAACTCACTGTTGGACAGACGTGAGAGCGAGAAATCCCAGCTGGTTTCAGTGTGTCAGACCTGCAGAGAAAGAGTATTAGAGCCATTGCAAATATTCAGAATCAATACAGTACGTATTGAGAAATCGATGTTTTTGACAACACTAAATGGAAGTGGCAAAAAGAAAAGGAGAATGCCTGAGTGAGGCTGAAAATTGCTTTTAATGAGCTCTTTGAAGGCGATCGAAGGCAGGCACTCAGTAAGTGAGCTCAAATTATTGCACTGAGGAGGAGAGAGATGCTCCCCTTCTTAGTCGGCTCTTCACCTTTCCCCTGAGGGAAATCTAACTTCCCTCACAGGTTGGCTGGGCTTCTGTCTCAGGCCTCACCCAAGAGTACATTCAGCAGTGAGATGTGACATGATTAGACATTTGTATGTGTGGTGACTGGTATCGACCCGTATCCAGAGAGTCTACATGCAGAAACTGACTGCATGAACCTTGCAAGCAGCTGCTGGACATCCCTACTGGAGCCAGACTGCACTTCTCTATACCCCTATCTGCATAATTTTGTGCTGTGTACAGCGGACACATAAAGATGTATGTGTTGAAATAATGTTACTAACTCTGTGTAATTAAAGGTTGTTTACTGGATAAATACAGCATTTCTTGGGACATCGCCTTGTCGCGTCCTCTCTAATTAATCTTCTTCTTTCCTCTCCTCCTCGTAGAAGATCATGAAACGCCTGATTAAGCGGTATGTGCTAAAAGCTCAGGTGGACAGAGAGAGCGATGAAGTCAATGAAGGTAAAAATTCCCTTTTTATCAAGGCCCAATTTTATTGTGTCATTCTGTGCTTTGGGCGTATGTGTGAAAAAGTGTATGTGGGGGACAAGCAACATTGTATTGAGCGTGTCCTGTATGGCCGCATATACTTGCACGTGAAAACTTTCAGCGCAGTCATGTGACCTGGGTGATAAGTGTCCACCTGCTTACATGTTCGTGCTGCTCACGTGTCCTGAATGTTGTACATTCGCTCACTTCTTCTTCTGTATCTGTGTCTGTGTGTGATTGTGTTGTAGGCGAGCTGAAGGAGATCAAGCAAGACATTTCCAGCCTCCGCTATGAGCTCCTGGAGGAGAAGTCCCAGGCCGCTGGTGAGCTGGCTCTGCTCATCCAGCAACTTAGCGACAAGTTTGGCAAGAACACCATGAGACACTGACAGGACTTGCAAGAAAGGGAGAGAGGGAAGGAGGGGAGGAAGATGTGAACTCAGACGAAGAGGAGGAGGTGGGGAGCAGAAAGCAGGGTCAAGCCAGGTATTTTTAAGACTTCAGTAGTACAAGAGGGAAAGAAAGGCGGGAGAGAGGAAGCAGGATGTTTATGAGATTGGACAGGATGAATGGAGGATGGTGGAAGAGAAGCTCGAGATAAACAAACTGGGCAGCAGGAGATTTTGCTAACTAAAGGTGAAAGCGCAGTGATTTGTATACGCAGTGACCAATTAGGGACAAATGAGGAAAAGAAGAATGGCGATCGAGCATGAGGTCAAAGGCTCAGAGGTGAAGCAAACTCAGCTAGAGGGGGCTTTGTGTTGACAGTTCAATTCTAATTAAAGGCAGTGTCTTCAGGGAGTGAGAAAGGAGAGGAAGGAAGAGGCTCGCGGGCTGGGTGAGAGTCAGAGGGAGACGAATGAGGAGAACACAAGCACAGTGAGATATGGAGAGGCACCACAGGGCACAAGACTGAGGCAGCGCAGTGAGGAGGGCCCCTACATCCACTGCCAAGAGATATCAGTGTATCACCAACTTGGAAGACAGAAAGAGGGAAACCCAGAGAAGGGATGATGCAGAGAGAGGCCGGGAGGGGGAGGGGGACAAGTAAGAGAGATATCTTTAAGAAAAAAAAAAAAACTGCCACTGTTGATCACACCAGAAAGGCTGGCTTTGCTTCTGTGTCTTCACTTTGCCGGGACACACAGTGATGCCTGTCGGGATACTGCACACACCTTTACACACCAGGCTATCTAATTAATGCATTTCCATCCATAATGCACAACTTCTGATCAAGAGTCAGAGGATTCAGGAAAAAGCCGGAGAGCAGGAATTATGCACTCATTGAAAAGTAACTAAAGAAACTGCTTAAAAATTTCGATATTATCCTCTCATCTTAATGTCACTCAGAGTGTTGTGTGTTGCAGCTCCACGTGAACTGTCTCCGAGAGATCTATGTTATAGGAAAATGTCTTTGTCGGGTTGCAAAAAGGGGCAATAAAATCACTCCAGACAGCACCTCTTTTACCTCATTCAAGCTGCTGCAAGAAATGGATAAATCTTGAATAGGGAATATAAATAAGATATACGAAAAGTTAAATTGGAAGATTTTCCCATGATCGCGCTCTCTTTTTGTTCAAAATTTAGATGCCGCGTGTGTTTGAACAACTTTGAACCAAGGTGTTAAAACATGACCTAGATAACTGCTGTGAATATTCGCTTCATCTTTGTGCCTTTGCAGCACTAAGGGTCTCTAAAATAGTCAACGACAGGTGATACGTCCTCGAGGAGTTGTGTTTACAGCAGTAAAATCCAGGAAGGTCAGTGCTTAGGTGAAGCACACGAAGGTAGCAAAACTGTTCCGTCTAATTGCCTTTAGGCAGCCAGGCTTCTGTGACATGAGAAAGTCTCAGAAATGCAGATGTACATTCATGAACGTGCTCGTTTGGCTATAAAACTGGGATTCTGCTGCTGAAGCTGTGTGGAGTCATTTTATGGTCTTGTTTTTTTGTTTTTTTGTTTTTCTTGTTTGGAGACTTATTTGACACACTGCTGCACAAACAAAAGTGTTGTGTTGTGCTTCACCAGAGACAAATTAAGAAAGGGTGATACTAAATAAAGCACAGTTTGATAAACGGCTAATTTTCCAATTATAACTGAGGTCTTTTATTGTTGTGCAGAGAGGAAAACTAGACTGCCTATTCACACCAAACAGGATACAGACGCAGATACAATTAGGGTGCTAACATTCAGTTGAGCTGTCGTATCAGCCACCTTATCCATCCTTCATGGGACTGCAGCCTAGATTTGGATTTGAAAGCAGCAAATTCCTATAAATCTGTCATTTAGATTCAGTCAAATCCCCAATCCTGAACACAATCAGGATTTAAACAAGTTGAATGAGATATTATTAGATCTAGTTAGAATGCTCTGGTGCATTATTTATTTAATACTTGATTCCTGAAGTCGAGTTTCTGACTTGAACATCCAATGTTGACACAATCCTGGTCTTTCAATGAAAAATTCATGTTTCATGAGACGGTTATGATGTTTTAAATTTAATCAATAGGCTGGAGAAGTTCCTCCAAGGATGCATGCAGTGGATTCAGAAAGTTAGAATACATCATACAGTACATTCCATCCCTTCCAAAACTAAAAGGATACGACCAAAAATGAAATATTATCAAGCTATAACACCACATTGTTAGTATTCTCTTATTGTGTGTATGCTATCAAATGCCATTAGCTCCCATAGGGAAAGATCAGCAGGGGCCTACTGCGCCTATTAACATGTTTAGAGGGGTGACATTTGTTATAACAGAATAATTAAAAAAAAAACACTTCTTGTTCATCTTAATATATTCATCCTTTACAGTACAAGGTACTGCCATATCAAATGACTCTAAATTTGAATCTGTATTTAATTAGTTAAGAGGAGGTTAAAGGCCTAAACTCAGTAGTAGGTATATTTGGCCCACACATACTTCTTAATGCCATAAAAGTAGAGTGTTAGTGATACATCAGAAGGCTTTAAACATAATTGAAAAGTTTGTCTTTTCACATTTTTTTTTCTCAGCCTATAATGACCAAATGTGTTTCAGATACACAAATGTTATTTAGAGTTGGGTTTTTATTTAAATCAGTAGTTGGACTTCAGTTTGTGTCTTTACTTATTTGTATTATGTGTGAGAGCTGCTAATTCTTTTCTGTGTTCCAGAGCCAGGCAAATAATGAGAAAACTCCCACAGAATGTTTTATGATTCCCCCCCTCACATGAAAAACAAAATTACCTGAAATACTGTATTTTTAACTTGTACACAAGAAATATTGATTAAATTGAAATCTTTTACTGTATATTGTCATATTTTTGATCCCTGAATTAAACAGAGTAAGCTCTAAACTGGTCAGTTTATTGTTGATGCATTTTGTACGTTTGTGCTGAAGGTGAAGCTTGATGAAATCTACCTGTCCCCACCTGTATCTGTCGGCTGATGATGGCTGAGGTGTTGCTCTGTACAACAACTGTACACACACACACACACACACACACACACACACAAATCTGCACATTCAGAACAAATGCTCTTGAAATCAATATTGGAGCAGCCAAGAGTACACAACCACAAACTCTTACACACTGATTACAGTAGCATGCACACTAATACTCCATTATTGTTATTATTCAGAATATGGAAACCTTCTGAATAATATTGGATTGGATACGAATCATGTAAACAGCATTTTATTTTGAGTTAGGCCATGTTTCAAATGTAGCATTTTCCAGTTTAAACTCGTGGGATATGCAAATATTCAGGATTGTAGGAACATTCTTTGGGCATGTCTCATCTAGAATATGGGTCTCAGTTTGTTTTTTCCCCACTGTTTGTAATTCAGTGCCCCTTGCCTTTTTGCAACAATGTGCACAAACCAACCAGCGAGCAGTTTGTAAGGTGGGCGTAGAGATGTACGCCCAAAAGAAAAGCCCATATTTCTTGTTGGCAGGAGAAACACACCTACTTTTAAACATTATGAAAGACTGATAAATACTTGTAATGAAATAGAAAGGCTGCGCTTGAATGGCTACTGGCAGCAAACTATGATAAACATTCAGTTTTATTAAAAATGTTACATGTACAGCCATGTACACCAACAGGCACAATGCCAAAACCACTGCCTGATACTGTGCAGTCTGTCCTTTTTCCTCCAAAACAGCACTGACACAACGGGGCACTGACACAGGACTCTGGGAGGGGCCTGCGATGTCCGGCACTGGCACATTGGCAGTGGGTCCTTTGGGTCCTGTGGGTTGCAGGGTGGAGCCTCAGTGGATTGGGGTGGTTCTGGCACATCCCGTGCTTAATTGGATGGATCAGGGGAGTTTGGAAGACGGGTCAGTGCCTTACATTCTTAATATTGTGAATGGGCCATTTCTAAGCCAGGAAGTGCTATTGTCATGAGAGGATGTGCTTTGTGTGCACATTGTTTAAATAGGTGGTACATGCCAAAGCAATATGAATGCTAAAACTAAAGGTTTCACAGGAGAGCACTGTATTTTCACTTCAGCTGTGAGGGGTTTTAATGTTTTGGCAGGTCAGTGCATATCATAGTACACAGTATTATATCTGAACACTAGTAAACAGGAGTGTTTTTATACTTGTACATTCCAGGAGAACCCTGACATTATATCTGTTTTTTTTTTATTTTTTATTTTTTTTATTTTGGTTACACACAGCTTAGTGCAGCTCCCATAAACAAGCAGCATTACATCCTACTATTACTATTAATGTTTTGTATAAAATAAAACACAGCTAACAGCCAGGATTTGCAGCTTTGCTGTATGGTAAAGCTAGCATGTAGTCACGCTAAACATTAGATTCCAGACTGAAGCTATTGCAGCCCCACCCCCACCCTAACCAGTTCCCACCATCCACAAAGCACCTCTCACACAAAGCACTGCAAACCCCCAGGTTGTAATGTTTCTCATGTGATAATGAAAAGCGCCTGAGGAACAGTTTCTTAAAACCACACCAAATTCACACTGCTGTAAAAGTATTAAATGAAGCTAATTTAAACTTCATATGTGTGTTTTAAAGTGACTTTGAAAAACAGAGAAAACAAATAACCCCTCTGTATGTGGGAAATAAGTAAGTGTGTGTGTGTGTGTGTGTGTGTGTATGTGTGTGTGTGTCCTGAAAGCTGCCCTCTGAAGCAGCTCTGTAAACACTCCATTCCAACATATGTCCATGTGTTTATCGGACCTCCATATACCAGTCACTCACTACTTTCTCTGCACTGTTTCAGGCTGTCACTGATAGACTTACTTTTATTTTCTGCTATTGCACAAAGGCCAACAAAAGGTGTCACAAAAAGTTCCCTTCCACAGTCATCTTTTTGGCCATATATGACAAAAGTATACAGGGGTTTTAGGGAATTTTGTTTTCATTGCAAT